AGAGAGAGAGAGAGAGAGAGAGAGAGAGAGAGAGAGAGAGAGAGAGAGAGAGAGAGAGCATGGCTTTATGTCTTTATGTGACAGCACCATCTCTGTGCCAGGCCTTGGCAATGGAGTTCTGCGATCAGATTTTCAAGCTGAGATATTCTACAAGCAAGACAGACACCAGTACTGTTGCCATGCCTTAGATTTACGACATATTTAGGTGCCAGGATACAAAATGAGTAAGACAGAATCTCTTGTAGAGCTCTTGGGAAGGGAGGCACAGATATTTATCTGTATGATATGGTTAATGAGAGAAAGGGATCCCTAAATTTCCTGGGGGTCCTCAGCTGGGAGGAGGCGATGCCCACCTAAACTCCATGATGTGAGAAGAGCAAGAGTCAGTCACATGGAACAAGGTAGTGAGCTGGTTGGTAGATAAAGGATCATTGAGTTTCCTGGTTTGGAATGGGCGTTTGCCATGGAATACAAGACAGGGTGCAGCAAGAGACCCTGGAGAGGGAGACAGGAGCAAGGTTGCAGAGAATCTGGGACACCATGTTGAGAAGATGTGACATGACTCCATGTGCTCTGGGAACCAGAGACAAACTCTTGGCAGAGGAGTTCTGTGATCAGATTTTCAAGCTGAGATATTCTACAGGCAAGCTCATAAAGGATAGACACCAGTACTATTGCCATGCTTTAGATTTATGACATATTAAGGAAGTAAATAAACAGAACTCAATTGACTGAATGGAGATAAAAGAGAAAGAGAAATCTAGAAAGGCTCCTTGGTGTCTGGCACCAGTGACTGAGAAGATGAGGCTGTGAGGAAACTGGGGAACGCAGCTTGAAGTTGAAGCATTTAACAAGATCTACAGATGTTAGGAATCCATGAGCCTGAAGCTTAGGAGAGAATGCCACCCTGAAGATTTGGGGGTTACCAAATAAAGGCAGCAGCTAAAACCTTGAGAACAAAGACCTCCCAGGGAAGAGCAGAGGCTGAATCTCAGGGGAAATACCCAAGTTCCCGAGAAAGAGAAGCCCACCAGGGACACTGAGAAGCAGTAGTTAATGAGGCTGGCAGAGAAGCAGGTCAATAGGGAGTAGACGCATAGAGAAGTAGGCAGGCACAAGGCAAAGTGTGACCCAAAGCCCACCAGGAGGACGAACAGCAATCTACCCAGCCGGTAACAGGAAGGGTTCTGTCTTGCTGGAGCAGGAAGCAAAGTGATGGGGGAAGGGTACAAAGGTAGAGTGGGACAGGATAGTGAAGGCTTGATGCTCCCCAATGAGTCAAACCACGGGTCAGTAATGGGGCCTCTGAAGGTTTCTTTTTCTTTTTCTTTTTTTTTCTCTGAAGGTTTCTGAATGTTCACTTTTGGGTGACACACTGAAGGTGGGGATTTTCCCAAAATGTGCTAGCAAGATGGGAGTGTGGCATAACATCAAGGAAGTGCATGACTTTTGGGTTTTAGTCCTATGGCTGGCAGAGACAGATTCTGCTTCTATCTATCTATCTATCTATCTATCTATCTATCTATCTATCTATCTATCTATCATCTATCTATCTATCTATCTATCTATCTATCTATCTATCTATCTTTTTAAAAAATCTATCTTGAGGTCTTTCTATGTAGTCCCGGCTGGCCTTGAATTTGCTATGTGGGTGAGGCTGCCCTTGAATTCACAACCTTTCTGCCTCAGCCTTCAGACTGTGGGGGTGATAGGTATATGCCACCATGCCTAGCTCAGATTCTGCTTCTTGCTGCCTCAGTTATCCTCTTTGTAAGATGGGAAAGAGCTTCCTGCCTGATCTCAGCTCTCCAGCTGAGCTAGGGGAGGAAAGGAAAAAAAAAAAAATCAGAGCCCAAAAGGCTTTCATGAGTTTTGGTTTTTCTGCTGCTACCACCCACCATGCGCATGAGATGGTTTGGTTTCCTGGCAGCCAAGCTATGTAGGAGGTTCAGTCTGTTCTTCTGCCCACACCTAACACTCTTTCAACCAAGGAAGGATGACATTCAGTCTGAGCTGGTCACTGGAGCTTAGCAGTGCAGATTTACACTGCCCTCAAACCACAGATGTCTTGTTCTCGGGAGCCGCGTGGTCTCGGTTCCCTAAAAATTGGAAGGCAGGTGGATTCTGGACAGTGTCTCTGGGTTTTTAGCCAGCACTGCATGAGGACACTGGGCAGTCCCTCATGGCTTGGAGCTACTGCCTATCATGAAAGGTTTCCTGTACCAAAATATTGTACTTGGCTGGTATTTCCTTACCAATTTGGATTGGTGAAGTGCTTGTTGGCATTGACTGCCATTAGTCAAACTCCCCTGGTCAGGAGGGGTTGTTTACCAAAAGCAGGTAGACTACCTAAGATAACAGGAGCAGAAATGAGTTTGGTGCTGGGGTAAAGCCAAAGGAACCCACTTAAGGGGTCACTCTATGGTGATGTATTCATTCAGAAAGTAACTCCTGAGGACAATTAGGTACAAGAGAAAGGTCAGAGTTTGGTTTGACCAGGACACGCCCTCGGCCAATGCTGTTCCCTTTTTATGGAACACCCCTGCTTTGTCCCCCTCCTGCTTGTACTTTAATATCCATATCACCTTCCTGGGGGTGATATGAGTGTAGTATGTTCCAGTTTATAAAGCCTTCTCAACTATGCTAAGTTCAGTTCACTCTCACTGTAATCCTGCAGGGCAGGAAGAACTAGCTCAAGATGAAGTGACTTCCTAAGGTTATTCAGCTGGCTGACTCGGCCTGCGAGTCGAGATGTGGGGTAATGACCTGGAGGAGGAACGGGGATGAAGAAGACTGGGCAAGAGACATGAGACACGAGAGACGGAGACAAGACAGTCTTTCTGATCAAGTCTCATTTATTGAGGAAGTGAGCAGGGTCTAAATAGCTGTATAGTGGAAGTAGTTGGGTGGGACTAGGTGTGGATTGGTAGTGGAGATCCAGGACCACAGGAAGGTGCCGAGGCAAGTGGGGATTGGTGCTGCAGCACTTCTTGCCCAAATAAGGGAAAATATAACAGGAGCGTTCTATCACCCCCCAACAGCTGGCCAGAGGCAAGGAAAGCAACCCAAATCTCCTGACTCCTTGCCCAAGGAGGGCCATCCTCTGGGTGATGGCTCTTACCAACCTCCCTGCAGGACTGTGTATGTGTTACATGCCCCTCATGCCATTTTAAAAGGGAGAGGACGTTAATGAATAGAATGATTTGTTCTAATGGTGTTTGTAAATAGGATCACAAGTCCGCATCTTGTACAGCAATTAACCACTAAGAAGAATATATGCAGTGTATTATTTGTTGAAAAATTAAAAATAAAATAAAAGGGAGAGGACATGGATAGATTTTTCTCCTTCAGTGTAAATCACCAGAGCCATGATGAAATCTTGCCTAATGGTGACCATTTTTGTCCTTCTCAGCAAACTGGAAGGAGGTTTTATTGAAACATGTGAGCCCTGACCAGTTGCCTGTAGAATATGGAGGCACCATGACTGACCCGGATGGAAATCCCAAGTGCAAATCCAAGGTACGGGCTACCAGAAGCTGGAGGTGAGCAGGACAACCTGGTCCAAGTGCACAGTCCAGCTCATCCCACATTCTGTTTCTAGATCAACTATGGGGGTGACATCCCCAAGAAATATTACGTGCGAGACCAGTTGAAACAGCAGTATGAACACAGTGTGCAGATCGCCCGCGGCTCCTCCCACCAAGTGGAGTACGAGATTCTCTTCCCTGGATGTGTCCTCAGGTAGGACCGGGTCCTTTCCTGAAACATGAACCTTTCATTCATAGGCACCAGTGGTTGGGCAGAGGGGTTGGAGGCCTTGGAGCCTGAGAGATGCATGTATATAGATGGAATTATGTCTAAATGGATTGATGGTCCCTGCAGGTGGCAGTTCATGTCAGAGGGAGCAGATGTTGGTTTTGGGATTTTCCTGAAGACCAAGATGGGGGAGCGGCAGCGGGCAGGGGAGATGACAGAGGTGTTGCCCAACCAGAGGTATAACTCCCATATGGTCCCCGAGGATGGAACCCTTACCTGCAGCGATCCTGGCATCTGTAAGTATCTTGGTCTTGGCAATACTTGAAATCTCTGTCCAGCATTCTGCCTGGTAATATACTCTTCTTCCATGGATTTGGGCTCTTGATATTAGATCTGGAAGTCAAACCTTATCTGTTCAGCTCTCTTGGCATAGAAAAGTAAGCTTGGAGAAGTGTAGTGACTTGCTCAAGGTAACTCAGGTGGAGAAGGAAGGTGGCACTGAATGGTAGGCTAACATACACGTGAGTCACTAATAGTAGGTGAGCACAGGGGCTCTGCTCTGCTTTTGGGTCCAGGTCGCACTAGGCCTGGGACTGTGGCCAGATGTTTCTTTGGGATCCTCCTTCCTCACAGGCCAGAAGGTGTAGGGATCACAGGGTGTGAGCAGTGTGCTGGAAGAGGGCCAGCCTTGGGTTTAGTGGTGGAGCACTTGCCTAGTATGTGTACAGCCCTGGGTTTGATCCCCACACCACACAGATACACACAGACACACAAAAAACAAGTAAGCCAGCCTTGACCTATCTAAATATCACTTATCTCCAGGTTGACCAAAGAACAGGCACAGAATGTAAACAGGTAGTTTACACATGAAGAAATAAGAATGACAAATACACATTTGAAGAGTTTAACCTCGCTTGACTTCATGATATTGATTAGAATTCCATTGGTTCAGCAGTTCTACTTTTGGAAATGTATCTTATGGAAATATTTATACAAATATGCAAAGACAGAGGGATGAGGTTGTTTCTGGCAGTATGAAAAGCTGGCAGCAAACCAAATGGCCATCAAGTCTTGTTAAAGATAGTCCAGCTATACAATGTAATACTACACTGTCATTAAAGAGAATAAATTGATGTGTTAGATGTCAAATACATATTGAACAAATAAACACGGAATATGCTATATGGAATATACTTACCTTTCTCTCTTTTTTTTTTTTTTTGGCTAGCTTCGCCCATCCTGGGGGCTGGGCTGGCATGGCATGTGGTGCCGGGGATCAAACCCTGGTCCCTGAGCTTTGCCTAAACTTGCCTAAGCAGGCGCTTTAGCCTACTGAACTATCTTGCTGACCCTTTTTTGTCTTCTTGAGACAGGGTCTCACTATGCAGTTCAGGCTGGTCTTGAACTCACTTTGTAGACCAGGCTGGCCTTGAACCCACAAGAAGCCTCCTGCCTTAGCTTCCTGAGTGGTGGGATTATAGGATGTGCCACCATGCCTGGCCTGTTAACATTGTTTTTAAAATCATTTATTTATTTATTTGGTACAGGGTCTCACTACACAGCTTGGACTGGGGCTCCTCCTGTCTCAGCCTCCCCAGTGCTGGTATTACAGGCATGTATCACCATGCCCGATTTTGGTGGCTGGCTTGGTGGCCCCAGCATGTGGTAATGGTCCCAGTGTGTGGTACTGGGGACTGAACCCAGATCCTTGCACTTGGCAGGCAGGTGCTTAGACTGCTGAGCTATCTCCCTAGCCAAACGTTGGTTTGTAAAAGAAGTGTGTACAGCAAAAAGAATTCTAAGGAATCTTTTCCGTGTGTGTGTGTGTGTGTGTGTGTGTGTGTGTGTGTGTGTGATACTGGGAATTGAACCTGGGTCTTCAAACTGAACTACATCCTCAGATCTTTTTGAGGTTTTAGACAGGGTCTCACTAAATTGCCCAGGCTAGGCCAGAACTTGAGCTCCTTTTGTCTCAGCCTCCTAGAATGTCTACTATGCCAACGGAACAGTAATTATCTTTGAGGTGGTAGAATGCTTATAGAGGGCTTTTCCTTTCTGCATATAATATAATTTGCACTGACAATTTATTACATTTATAAGCAGAACACACACACACACACACACACACACACGTGTGCGTGTGCCAAATGAAATTTGGCTTTCTGACAGCCAAGGGGCTGGGTGTGGAAAACCAAGGAGAGCTGGGCCTTTTTTTGATCAGACTGGAGTTGGACTTGAGTATTGACTAGTTGTTTGGCTTTAGGCAGGGGACTTGACTTTTAATTTCTGTTTCCTTATTGCTATAATGGGGATCTGACAGGGATACCCAAAAATTACATGGGATAAGGTCCCTAACGCACGTCCTCAGTATAATGCCTGGCATAGAGCCAGCACTCAGTACTTGGTGGCCACCATTCTTATTAGGATTAGAATAAGTGCGGGGAGGGGTCAAGCCATCCTGGACATGACGCTGCAAGATGAGTGAAGCCTTGTGTCCCGTGGCTAAGGCAGCCTGGGCAGATGAGCCAGCCCCACAGATGTCTCCGGCTCTGTGCTCATCCACACCATCACCTAGTCTGAAATTCAGCCTCCTCCCTCACAACTCAGCAACCTTCAGTCTCTCCTGCCCCCTCCCCCCAGATGCTCTGTGGCACACTATGGCTCCCTAGGGAGGGTGAGTATTCTCCTTAGTGAGGAGTCAGGGCCTGGCGAAGAAGTCTATGCCTCAGCAAGAACAAGGTTTAGCACTAGCTCAGACACTGTCACTCACTTTGTACAAAGAAAGACTGAATGTTTTGTTTTAAGAACAGGGAAGCTGAAGTGCGGAGAAGGATGTTCTCTCTCCCACAAAGTAACTTGGATAGACAACACGAGACACCGGAGACTACTAGAAGCCTAGTCTGAGAACTTTTGCCCATAGACTGTCCTAGAGATATCAGGACATCTGTCCTTGATGTGACAAAGGAGAGTATAGTCCCAGACATGGGAATTTCTCCAAGGTCATGGAGTCTTGAGGAGAATCCCAACTCATTGTTATGGCTTCACCCATTCCCTCTCTTTTGTCCTTAGTCTGTAGAATAACAGCCTGAGAAGGGACCATAAGCTTTTTTTTTTCTTTTTTGTGGAACTGGGCATTGAACTCAGGCCCCTGTGCTTGCCAGGCAAGCACTTATTCTACTGAGCTATCTCCCTGGCCCAAACCATGAGCCTTTGAGTGTGATCGAGCTTAGGTTTGAAAACCTCCAAATTATTTTAACTCCTTTTGAATAGCTTCCTGACAAGAACTCTTCTGCCCATTTGTGATCTGCTTGTTGCTCATTCCCAGGAGGAGTGGAGTCAGCCCCAGCACCCACCTGCTTCCCCCAAGCTCACCTGTGGGAATGCAGTGCCCCCGGAGACTCAGGCAGCTCCCCATGTGGTAAAACACAGCCACCAAGGGGGTCATTTTAACCTTTGCCTGCACCAGCCCCAGTGGCAGGAGCCCTGTAACCTTCTGGTTTCTGGGCCTTGTCCAAGTATACTAAATTACTAAGGGGGGACCAGAGTTTGAACTGATCTCACTTTTCTTCTCTCCCCTAATGTCTACTGAGGGCTTACTAAGTATGGGATACTTGACCAGGCATGGAAAGATTCAGAGAAAAGAGCTATGGTCTGTCCACCAGGAGGGCACAGAGTGATTCTAAAGACTCGAAGTACTGCAGAAAGGTGACTTAATGCGGTAGGTGGTGCTGGGGTGCAAAAAGCCCAGCAGGCACAAGAAGGCTGCTTCCTAGGCAAGTCCAGCATTGCCCCCATTCTGAGTGTTTGGAACCAGTGTCTTTTAAGGCTTAGATCTGACTTTTTTTCTTAAAATACAGTGGACTAGAGAAGATCTTAACCTGGGGCCCATGGACGCTACAGAGCAGTGGTTCTAAATCCTAAAGATCAATACTCCCTGTTTGTAACTAAGAGTCTAATGGTCTCTTTACTGTTTTGAAGTGGAATTCATAGATAATAAAACCTGCCTACATGGATAAGTTAAATTTCAGTGTATCAGTCATATATATGAAGGAGAAATAGAAACAAGCTCATTTGGGAATATATATTTCTCTTAGTACTGGGGAATGAACACAGGGCTTTCACACTGAAGTATATTCTCAGTGCTTTTTACAAGTTTTGAGCTGGGTGTAGTGGCACACACCTGAAATCCTAGGACTCAAGAGGCTGAGGCAGGAGGATTGCCATGAGGCCAGCCTGGGCTACATAATGAGTCCAAGGACTGCCTTAACTACATAATGTGACCCTGTCTCAAGAAGATTTTTTTAAAAAAATTATTTATTTATTTTTATTTATTACATTTATTTATTGTGTGTGTGTGTGGCC